ACCAAGTAATGACCATAACCTTGCCCCTTGTCAGCTCTACTATACACCTGGGAATTCTGATCATTCACATGAACTTATAGGCCCATTGTCTGCCAACCCTATATATGATCTTGGATACACTCTCCATTTAGACATACCTAATTGTTTAGCTTGTTCACCCATCTATCCGAGGGCAGACCTTTTTTGTCACTGCTCTACTCTCAGTGCCAGAAACAGCCTGCTGTATAGAAGGTACTGAGTGCTTGTTGAATGAATGCATAACGAATGAATGTTATAAGGAAACGAGTATTTGTCCCTACTCCCAAACAGGTATAGTACATTAAATTCAAACAGCATAATTTATAATTGTAAAAACTGGAACCTGCGTGTCCAGAGAACAGCTAAGCAAATTAGAGACACTGACACCAAAAATGCTATGTAGCCATCATACATGAGAAAATTCAGTGAAAACATTTATAAGTGAAAAAACATAATTGTAGCATTTATATTTAAAAAATGTTTTGTGGTGTTTTGCCCGTTTACATTTATTGAGGTACATGTGAAGCTTTTATAAATACTGAAGTATTAATTTACAAAATCACTAATTACTAATTTCTCTTGTTATTTACATTCAATTTTTAAGTACTTGATTAGTTCAAAATTCTGAGGTCTGCCATATTTTGAGAAAATAGTAGCAATTGTCTCCATGGGATGACCAACACAACTGTCAGTATGAGGGGGTTGAGGGTGATGAATAGTTCCTTTTACAAACACTAAGAACTATGTAAAAAAGTTCAAATTAAACAACAGATAGGAAAATTCCTTTGTTGACTGCAAAGCAGTGTTATGTCTTCATTTTATTTATTTTTTAAATAAAATTTATTGTGGTATAATTTATTACATACCATAAAATATACCCACTTTGAGAATACTCCTGGTGTACACTCAGGCGCCTTGACTCAGCAGCTATCTACAAATACTGAGGCGTGAGCTCACCTCCTGTGGTCTGCACAGGAGGCAGCGGCACTGGTTCTTCACCAAGGTTCCCTGCTGCCTGGCAGCGAGAACATTCCTGACCCCTCTCACCAAAGCCATACATACCTGCACCCTACACAGGGCTCTAAGTTACCATGGCCCTCATGCTAGGACTCATCAGTGTCCGGACACGGCCAAGAGAAACAGGAGGACACAAAGCTGTGAATTAGGTAGGAAGGCTGCCTCTGGTTTCCATAACTATCAGTCATTGAGCACAGACTTTGGAGCCAGGCCCCATTACCTACAACTTATTACAGCCTTGAACATACTTCCAAACCTCTCAAAGCCTATTTCCTCACTGGACTTAAAGGAAAATATTCATGCAAGATGAAGGCAAAAATTAAGTGAGACAACATACGTGAAGCCACGATGTGAGAACTCATTTTACACCAGTCATCATTATTTGGACTGTCTCCTAGCTGACAATTCATAATCACTCTGGCTCTGTAAGGTACAATAATCAAAAATGGGCAGTTGGGGCATATTTACATGGAAGTCTACAAAGGACCCTTTTCATTGGGGCTCAAAATCCAGCCTCTCTCTCTGCAGTAGAAGGCTTGTGGATTCCTCATTGTGTTTTCTGAACAAGGACTAAGGAAGCAAAGGTACACTATCATAGCACCATTAGACCATTGGTTGGTCTCGGTGGAGCTGCCAGTCAACCTGAAATACTATTACAAAGGTGTAAAGATCTATTCTTGCTCGGTTGTTTTATCTTTCATTAAAATAAAAAATTTTAAAAATATATAAAAAGTCCACCATAGTTCTCACTACCCCTAAATCAGGTCACAAAACAGCAGGAGACATTCCTTTGGCAAAAAAGGACACGTTCTTGTCCTGTATCTTGTACTGGTAAGTGAGGCTCCGTTCCTGCCGGGCTGTGGGCTGCAACGGTCTCCTCCACAGGATCGTCAGCTACAGAGACAGGGAAGGAGAAGAATGAATAAGAACAGCCTCCCCAAGTTCATGCTCCATGGGGAACTCTCCTCTGTGTCTTCCATGACCTTCAACTGAAGCTTCAATGAGATCCACAGTCAGATATGCCATGAAGTAATGGGACTGGCTTCTAAAACAAAGCTTATTACCAGCTAACTAAAAATAAAGGTTTCCGCCTCTATTACAATAGGATATTTATTCATTATAAGAAATATAAAAGAGAAAGAAAAATAAATGGAAGGAAAAAATATCATCCAGAGAAATATCCTCAAAGCATTTTTATGTATTTCCCTTTGGTCTTTGATCTATGCATAACTTTCTGAAGAAGCCTTGACATTTATTTTGATGATGCTTCCACTGACGGAAATGCTTTGGGGACTGGCCTCAGAGATAGGCCATGTGGCGCACAGCACAACCAAGTCCTCCCACAGCACCTACAGGCACCACTGACACAGCATGCCTGGGCCTGCTCATTTGCTTCATCTACCAGACTTGCTTCAGAATGAGTCTGGGCCAAAACACTCACCCACCCTTACTGGGTCAAGAGTAGCCAACAAGAACTTAACCTGGAAGCTGTGAAGGAGGCGTTGGGTGATTCCAAAAGAGAATTATTAGAAGGAACAGAATGACAGCAGCCCCTCAGAGGGGCAGGGTTCTCACTCCCTCTCAGGGCGGGACTCTTGGCTTCTGCTGAGTACTCTGAACATTCAAGGCAGAAGCAGCAGTGAGAGGGGCAGCAAACTGGTCCATAGGTATGGCCTTCTCCAGTCTGTACTGTAAAAGAAACAGTGTCTACCCGACCATACAGAGCTTACTGCAGCACTGCAGAGAAAGTCGGCTATTACTTAACAGCATGGTCCCACTCTGGACAGTCCTCTTCTCTTTAGGAGAGCTCCACTTGGGTCACAAATGAGAACCACGGAAAATGTGCACTAGTCCCTGTGGCTAAGCATCATCTGGGACAGGTCTCAGATTTCCCTTCACACAACTTTCAGTTTCCCCTTCACTTGAAGGAACGTCCCAATCAGGTAGCCCGTCAGCCCCAACACTTCTGCATGTGCAAACTCGTGGGCACTGAAGGAAATGGTCTGTTGCCCAGCAAGCCCTTGACCCCAGCCCCTACATACCTGCCCATGCACATCCCGACAGAAGCCAGTGGCCAGCCCCTCAGCCCGTAGGATCAGATGGCTCTGGTGACTGAGGCCATGCAGTAGGATGTCATTCTCTTCATCCTCAACGTCTCCACTGTCATGCACAAGGGCCACTATATTTCCCTGCATCAGAGATATAAGACAGAAACCTGCTCTGACTAAAGGGACACCCAAGATTAGGCAGCATGGAACTCCAGCCCCTTCACTCCCCTGCATGTCCTCTCGCAGGTCACCCTCCCTGCTGCTTGTGCAACCATATCCTTTGTGGAAAGGACCCCATCTAGGCTCCAGGGACCTAATTTTAGCCATCTGCTTCCTTAGCATGTCCAAGTTGTGCTTCCAGCTCAATTCATCTAGAACATGTGTGCTTCACCCTGTGGTCTTCAAAATTAGCTTGCTTGCTTGCTCTCTCTCCCTTGAATCCTTTAATGTTATTAAAAGTGCCACCATTTTGCCAAACAGCAATTCATCCAGTTGACAGCTCCTGAGAACTTACGGTATGCTAGACCATGCAGTGGGGATAAGAGATGAAAAACTGGGCCCTAGGGACAGACAGATACTTACAATACAGTATGACAGTGTCAGGAGGACAGGAAGCACAGATGCTGGAAGAGCACAAAGAAGAGGCACCTTGTCCAGCCTGGAGAAGGGGCTTGGGAGGTAGGGACAGCTCAGCTGAGTTTTGAAGGGCAAGTAGGAGTTAGCCAAGCAGAAACAGAGGGACAGCTCAAACCTACTAAAAGGGGATGACTTAAATAATGACAAGCCAATTTTTCTCCAAGATGGCGGACTAGGCACAAGGACTGCACAGAC